GCCGCGCTGGGGGTGGCGATGTGGAGGAGATGCGCCTTCGCAACGGCCCGTTGCGCAGGCTCCGCGGGCCCCGTAGGCTGCTGGGCGGAGAGGCCGCGCGGCGGGACTCTTCTGGAGGATGCCGGCGAGTTCTGGTGGAGCCGGCGGAGCGTTCCGGTCGCGGGCCCCCCTGGCGCAGTCGGCTGCCTGGCTGCGCGCCGCCCTGGACGCGCTGGCCGCGCTGGTGGCCTCCTTGCTCGCCTCCCTGCTCGCCAGCGCCATGTGTTTGACCGGGGCCCCCTCGGGAGCCTCCTCGTCCGACCCCTCCTGTAACTAGCCGCTCGCGAGGGTGTTTGTGCTGCCCCGTGTGCTCTCGTGCGGGCTGTGCGGGTGGATCGGTTCGGTGGTACTTATCCGTGTGCTTTCGTGTGTTGCAGCCGGGGCGACGTCAGATGCCCTGAACCAACGGCCGGGATCAGCAACCGGGGGAAAACCTCTCGCCGCTAAGCCAGGTGGGTCACGAAGCTGCGCGAGCAACGCGCCTTTCATTTATTTATTCTTTTCAAATTGTATCTCATATTCCTAGGGTGGTTGGCACGTCTTTATGCAGCTTAAAGTTCCTTTTCTTTTTATTCATTGCCAAATTTTTTGTAAGCTACACAAGTGTAGTAGTGTGTAACTGGCTACTTAGATAAAAAGTTTCAAGCCTTTTTGAACAATTACTATTTTTTTTCTTTACTGTACAAACTACAGGCATAGCTTTGGGAATAGAGTGAAATGGATCATGTGAATACTGTTGTGTAAATCTTTCTACATTATCATTTATTAATTCATTTAATTGCTGACAGTATTGATTCAGTTGGCAACATTGTCAAGCACCTTTCCAAATTCAAACTTTGTTAATAATTTTAAATGTGGCTTGCGAAAGCATAATTACAATTTATTTGTATATCTGACTAAAATTTCTGGTGGAGAATAACGATGGTGGTGGTGATGGTGATGGTGCAGGGAGGCGCGATCCCAACAGCCAGACTCTGCACTGGTTCGCGCACGTTGGGCCGGACGGCGACAAGCAAAACATACAAGTGGCAGTGCAGGAACAAGCAAATCACAATGCACTTCCAGGTAGAGCCAGCTTTGAATGTCTAGCAGTTATTGGTGTGTTCATAGCTTGTAACATGTTCGAGGGTTGGACAACTGCAACGTAAATTGTCTTGTATTGTGAATGCATTTTTTCAGTGATGTTGGTTCTGACGAGCACTGTATCTGTCAATTTGTCCCTGCATGTAGCACAGAGAAGTGCATTTCACATTCTAAATAATAATTTCATATCAGTTGTGTAGTTCAGTGATTAACCATAACAATTAATTTGAACTAACAATCAGAATTGTATAAATACTGCATTATTATTGTTGATGGCATGCCTTTGTGTTATTTAAGAGTATTTGTCACTGGCACTCCTTCTGAGTGCTTTTGTGCTTCACCCATCGTAACTGCTTGCATTTTACTTTGCTCATAATATGTTTCTTCGTGTACAAAGTGCACATGATTTTATTTTTTTGTATTCGCCACAGTATTTAATAGTACACAAAATTACACGATCTCCATGTTTGTTCTGATCACCTTCACTGCAGCATTGAGTTTCGAGTGTCTTCAAACTGCTTATACCCATGGCATTTTGTTTCAGGTGGTAAAGAAAATGCAGCATTGCAGCGGGAAAGAGAAGAACGTCTCCGTGTTCTTCGTGATAAACAAAATGAGGAGAGGCAACGGAAATTAGAGGAGCTCAAGCAACAGGTAAATGTTTTGATGTAGTCAAATTTAAGAAGGAACACAGACCTCTTGCTAATTTTCTTATTTTGATTGTTTCTTAGGCTCTAGCTGCCCAAAAGTTTCGAGAGCAAAAAGAAGAGGAACGGAGACGAAGAATAGAGGATATGAGACAGAGAGATGGAGATCGACGACACCAAGTTGAAGAACGAAAAAGACAAATAATAGAAGCAGAACAAGAAAGGAGAACAGCTATATTAAGAAAAAATCAAGTAGGTATTCTTCCAAGCTCTTTGAATTCTTTCAAATCAAACATACAATAACTATAGTGGTCAAATCTTTTTTTAGGAAAGAGAAGCTAGAATCGAAATGAAACGAAAGAACGAGCGGAGTTCCATAGTGTTTGCTTTTGGAAGTTCAACACCTCGAATGCTAGAACCTGCTGACACAGGTGGTTCCTATTGGGCTACTCGCCGGTGAGTGACAACTATACTTTTACCTAATAATACTTCATTATGAGTAAGATTGTTTGCATGTATTATGTCATTTATGAAATCTACTTACTGGTATATATATTTCCTGCATGTATCTCCAGAGCAACATCAACTACCACTCTGTTTAGTGGAGCGCCACTTACCTTAACCAGGCGTGGATCAGAGCGAGAACTTGATGGCAGTAAGAAGCGAGCTACATCTGCATCTGGATTAGACCGAAAGCCAGGTAAGACTCTTTTTATTGCAGGCTTGCTTAGTTCAGCTTATTTCCATGGGCTACTCCATAAACAAACTGATGTACAGTACTACAGTAAGAATATCGTATTCCTTGTAAAATAAGTGCTTATCAAACTCGAACTGGCTTCCCCGAAATGTAGTTTAGTGAGATATTTTCTGTAGTTCTGGTATACCAATGGTATACCAATGCTTTACATCTTCATTACATGATTGTAGGTAGGTATTTTGTTCTATCCTCATACTTTTTTAAGTATAATGGAGTACCCCAACAGTTGATTACTGTTCCTATTGAGAAACTAAATTTTTAGTTCACTTAGAACTTCCTAATGCTGACTTTTCAGCATTGTTTTAGATTGATTTTGCTCAAATTGTTATTGGGGCTATGTAACAGAGATGCTCCAAAGTGTTTTGAAAATTCTTCCTTGTTATTTTCTTTATGTTGTTTTTCTCTTGCTTCTAATGTTTAGAAGTTATTGTCTATTTGTAACACCCTACTATTTCAGACATTCATGATGTTTTGACTTGGGTGGAACCTCTTCAACACCCCAATTCTATAGAAATTAGGGCCCAAATATGCTCTCTACCTAATGGTGGTGGTGAGTTATCACATACTGGCATTCTTTTGCTTCACTAACCAATCACTGGCGAATCTTCTGAACATCAAGTGTGAACTGTTTCTGTAATTTTAATCTGTCTAGACTGTGATTACATTGTTTGTGCTATTGGAGATGGCAGGGAGAGGAATTATTCTTAATCACTGTTATCTTATTTGCCTTTGACAATATAACTTAACAGTACATGATTTCAATTCTGTTCAAAATACTTAATAGCATGTGAAAATAATGCTTTGCATTTGGAAAGCTTAGAGGCAGTAACTAATTACTGTGTGTCTATGAAAAAGAGAATGTGCTTTGTAGGCTGATTTTTGTGAAAAGTGCATTTGAAACGCTACCTTCTCTTGAAGTTGGATGTGGAATGTTTGCCTTTCATATAAATCGGGTCATTTTAATCTCTCTTTTTTTCTGCTCCCCACCCCCTCTATTTTTTTGTGTAGATGTAATAATGTAAAGAAGAAAGATTATTTTTATTTTATCATTACATCTTACTACATCTTTTCTAATGTTTCCTGCTCATGATTGCTTTTTGTGATTTTTTTTTTGTTGGTTGGGGGGGGAGGGTAGGGAATAATAATACTATGTTAAATTATCTGCTGAACTAACATATTGGCATTTGTCATGTATCACTTTTCTTCATGTATGTTGTCATTCGTATTAATGCTTATTATATATATCTTGCGCTTTATAATCTATATTTAGCATTTTGTCTGCATGTAGCACACCATACTTTACTGAACTGTTGTGCTCATAATTTCAAACAGTCACCCAGACTCTAAAGCAGTAAACTTGCCCTCCAAGCTCCAAATATACTTGTGGTGTCAACCACCACATTCAAAATCCTCGTTTGAGCGTTGACATGATCAATGAACACTGGAGTTAAATGACTGCGTTGAACGCCTGAGGTGGAGGCAGGGTCACCTGGGACTGTGACGATGTTGCTAGTAAGGTTGTGCCCCCGGCGCGCAGGTGTGCCTGGCGGGGCAGTCACTGGCCTCCCGCACCACCACGACGACGACCAGGGCGCCGTCTCCCCGGACGGTGTGGGCTCCGGCTACATGACCCCCCGCAGCGCGACGGCGGCGCGGCGCAAGACGGACCTCATTCCGACCATCCCTTCGCCGCGCGAGGGCCGCGACCAGGGGCCGCCGTCCTCCCGTCAGAGCCGCAGGCCCTCTGGTAATGCCCCGAACAGAGCGTACTCCATGTCGCGGCTCGACCAGCTCTCCCAGCCGCGCAAGCTGCTGCTGCCGCGGCCCGGTGCCGCCAGTCCCGGCGCTGGCCCCGCCGCTCCCGAGCGCCCCGAGCGGCGGCGGGCCGGGGGCGGTGCCGGCGCCAAGGGCACCCTTAGCTCGGCCAAGTCCATGGGCCACCTGGCCGGCGGCCGCCTGTCGGTGGCGGGGGCGGGGGCGGGGCCCAGCGCCGGCGGCAGCAGGAGTGCTGCGCTTGCGCGCACCGACACCTCCCGCAGCATGACCCAACTGTGCGTAAGCAGCTTGAGCAGCCTCAGCCCGGTGCCGCCGCCCAGGATGACCCGCGCAGAGCGGCTGCGGCGGCGCGCCCGCGAGCAGGCCGTCAAGAGCCAGCCCCTCGACACGGGCACGGCCGGGCAGGCCCTGCAGGCGCAGCCGGCCCAGCAGCAAGGTGAGTAGCCTGAGCCTGCACTGCTGTGAGCACAGCGTGAGCGCAGCCGGGTGGGGGGCTGCCATGGTCAGACATGCTCCAGTGTTGTGAGAGAGCGAGCGAGTAGTTGCTCTAGCTCTTCGGTCGCCCTGCGCACCCAAATTTCTGGCCGGAATTGTTATCAGGCCTGTCTCACTGACAGCAAACTGCGTATCGCAAGGACATGCTGCCTGGTAGCCTACTGCCCGCGCCCGCGGGAAAATACCCCCGTGCAGCACTAATTTGTGTTGTGGAAATGTGGTCATGGATGGTATTAATGCCTTCCTTGATCTGGGGGAGAATTTTCTGAACAAGGAATCGCCACCTCAAAGTATTTTCTTTATCTACTTTTTATTTGAATGATTTGCCAGTTTGTGAGCTCTTTTACTGCTTTGTCAATAATATATTTTTGACTCTGGAAATTTTTTGTTTATCACTTATATTTTCAGTTTTGCATTTAATATTTCTTTTGTTGAATTCATTTCTTAAAATAGCAAGCTACACAAGAAGTCTGCCTCTGTGGATGATTCTAAATGAAGGTGACATTACTCTCGCCTGATGAGCAGCTTGCAATGAAACATTTATGTGTCATGAGGTTGGCTTTTCCAATGCCTATCATTCTGCCTAGGTGTTAATGCATGTCCTCTTCTTCATTCAGTAATTATATTAGTAGACATTGGTATCATATTGCTTTACTGTAGTTTCAGTAGATGTGTTTGAGACTCTTAAAAATTCATCCAGCAGGGGATTATTACTTAACTCAAAATTGTGGGCTTACTTATGTCATTTTCTTACTTCAATTTCTTACATGTGTCTGAAACTTACTGTGGTTCAGGATGCTTCACACAAATGTGCTCTAATTTTCTTTTCCTTATCTACTTGACCCACTTGATCCTCAAAAAATCTCTTTTGGTCGTGCATGTGGCTTCTATACTTTCCTTGCTGTTTCATATCCCTGACACTTCAATGTCATTAAAAATCAGAAAGCTCAGTTTTGCATGGGTGCACTCTAAAACAATGTCATTGTTCCAACGACCATCTTTTATTTTTGTATCCTGATTTATGGTCCAACCACACTTTGTTGCTAACCTTATCACACTCGGTGGTTGTGCCACCAACACATGTCATTATGCTCGCATATCTTGGTGTTGGAACAGCATCCTATGTCGCAAAGCCATTCTAAGGCCGGAATGTTTTTGGTGCAGTGTCATTGCAATACTGACACATTTTATTTGTTTTGTGTGTGTGGTGCGCTTCAGTTTTTTGTGCATCATCCTCATCCTGGTTGGCAATGCTATTTTGGCCAATTGGTGTTCTAGTTAAAAAGAAAGAAATAATTAAATTGGGACATTTAAAGTTTAACGTGTAAAACAACCAACATAAATTTATGTCCGCATGAATAAACTGGTTCTGCTTCAGAACTGGTTCAAAGTTCATATTTCAGCATCTTGCATGGGTTTTCCTTTCTTTCTGTTTTATTTTTGTCTTTTTCCCACTCAACTCTTTAAGGGTGATGGGCGTGATCTTGTAAGTATATCTGTGTTCATCGGTGATTGGTTACATTATTATTTTTGTGTTCCAATCCTCGCCTTCTGAGGTAAGAACTCTCGCACATATTTTTATGAACACTTGCTTTCAGTTTTCTTCATATTTTGAAGACATAATAACTCCTTGGAACAAACCTTTCTCTCGGTTAAGGTGACTTACTATTCCTAACCAACTTTTGTAAGGACAAACTTTCAATTTCAGTTTTTTTTGTGTGTTTGTCAGAATTTTTTCTAGTCTTACTTATTTGGTATATGATTGATAATTCTGGTCGTCAATATCCTTCATATTCAAATTTTTCTTTGCAACACTGCAAATTTGGACACACAATGCGAAATGTGTTGATCATGTTTTGTTTGTTCTTGAATTGTTGTTTTTGTTGTTACGTATTTATCGTTTTGTCTGATTTTGAGAGGCAGATCAGGCATGGTCCCCTGCCTTTAAGTACTGTGAATTGTCTGTTGATTATGTTGTATTCTTTTGTGAACAGTGCTGACTTCTGCTCCCTCCAATTTTATTGTATTTTTTTCTGTGATCTTGCTCAATGATCTTTTTATATTTTCTTATGTATGACTAGCTTTACTCCTTCCCATGTCTAAAGAATTATGATTTTGTGAGTGTGTCCTTACCTTTATGCTGGGAAAAGCTTTTGTGCTATGGACTCTGGATATTAATCTCTGCTCTCTAAAACTCTGGCCAGCTTGTCTACTTTATTGACATAAGTAAACTTTCGTAATGATTGTATGATTATATATTATGTAGTGAGACAGTATTCTCAATATTGTTGGGGGAGATTTAACCCACCAAAGTTATTCTGTTGTTATTTTGTATTTGGTACAATACTGTTATCGCAGGTAAATGACAATGCTATGTTGGACATTGTACATTTAATTCCTTACTGAATCTGTCTCCTTGTCCAGATTTGACCTTGGAACACTTTTTACTGTAATTGTTTTCAAGTTCTGGAAGATTGGTTTTTAATCTAAACGTTTGTAAAGTAGCTTGAAATATTAGTTATAACATTGAGCAGTGCCTACTCTGCCTTCATTATATTATCTACCTAATTTGGTGCCATACATTTTTTTTAATTTTTTTTAAATATTATTAAGCTATTGAAACATTAGGGGTACATTGAAGGGTTTGTCATTTAATTTTTAGCTTGGCCCATAAAATCACATTTTCAAATCTGTGTTATTTTTGTCCAATCACACAGGCTTACGGTCAGGAGAGACAACCCCCTCAAGGCCTTTGAGTGCCATGAGCCAACAGTCCATGAGCAGCGTCAGCTCTTCAATAGGTGCTCCTATGCGTAGCAAACCAGTGGCGGCACCCAGAAGACCGCGACCTGCTAGTATCGCCGTTACCGGAGTAACAGTGGATCCACCACCAAGGCACAGTGAGTAGCACAACGCAAACCATAGTTTCGTAAAGATCGAAAAGTGATCAGTTGACTACTCTTATTAAATAAAAGTAATAAATCTTTCAGTTTTAAATAGGGTGATAAATGATAAAACAGTTTAGTTTTCGTACAACTACTACTACTCGGAATGTACTTATACTACAAACCCTTCATGTGTTGTTTTCTTTTAATGGCAGGTTTAAGCTCTGAACACAAGAGGCAGGCGGCGGCCTCAGCAGCTGCAGCCGTAGTCACCAATGGCGCCGGAGAGAAGCCTCCCGTTCCAAGACATGGTAGTAGTTCAAGAAAAACTAGCTCAGATCGAATGTCTGCCAGCATGTATGGTGCCATTCCGTGCTCTGATAGCACCTCTAATCCGCCCAAAAAGCCTCCAAAGACTGTCAAGGTACAGCACCTTGCAAAAATTATTTATTCTATTCATGATGACCAGTTTTCATTAGTGTTCTGAACATTTGTTTTGGTTTTCTGTTCTTCTCAGGCATCTCCACGCCCTACTCCTAAGGCAACTCCTCTTCAGTCACCAAGAACTGATAATGCCCCCACACTGCCTCAAGATTCTACCCCCAACCAAACTAAAGCACCCGAGCCTCCTCTCAAAGCTGCCCCATTGAGCAATGACAGTGTACCTATTCCAGCACCATCTCTTGTGTCATTACCAGTTGCTACTACTATTCAGACATCTCTGGCACCCACTGAGATGAGCACAGTCCAGGTTCAAGAAGCATCCACACCTGTGCCTGAACCTTCTGCACAATCGATGTTGTCTGCAGAGCTCACATTCCACCAAATGGAGCAACAGCATCAAGAGCAAATCTGGGAAGCTCAAAGACAAATTGATGTTTCCCCAGTGTCTGCGATATCTGCCCCAATTTCAAATGATACGTCTTTATCAGAGGCAGTGGACATGACTGCTTCTATGATCGCTAAACAGCGTATAACTACTGAAGAAGAGGCTAAGGCTGCTCTTGCTGAGAGACGACGCCTAGCTCGAGAGCAAGCAGAGAGAGAGGCTGAACTTGAAAGACAACGCTTAGTAAGTTCTTGTATTCTGTTCAGTAGTAGCCATCAAATATGTTATCCTACATTTAGTTCTTCTGTAATTCTTCTAGCAAACTTATTTTCTTGTAACTTTCATTTTCACAGGAAGCAGAACGCTTAGCTGAAGAAGAAAGATTAAGACAAGAGGAGGAGGAGCAAAGACGATTTGAAGAAGAGCAGGAGAGGTTGGCAGCAGAAGCTCGTAAGTCTGAAGAGCAACGACTACTACAAGCTATTCAGGTGAACAACGTCATCCTTTATCTTGAAAATTATAAACAAAGGCTTTCATTCTAAGGTATTTGAGTTGATTTATTCCTGTCTTTGATTTGTCTATTTTTTTATTTTATAGGAAGCTCAAAAGAGAGAAGAGGAAGAAAGGAAAAGAAGGGAGGAGGAGGCTCAACAAAAAGCAGAGAAGGAAGAAGCAGAAAAAAAGGCAAAGGAAGAGGCAGAAAAGTATGTTCTGGATCTTCATACCTATAATCTTTAATTTTTTTGGAAAAGTAAAGTTGGGTTATAGCTTTTATCTTTACTTCATGTTTCTAGGCAAAGAAAAGAAATGGAGTTAAAGCTGAAACGAGAAGAAGAAGAGCGCATGGAGCGACGTAAGAGGGTGGAAGCTATTATGTTGCGCACCCGTGGTAAAGGGACCACACCTACCTCAACTCCTACAAGGGTAAAGAGTTTACTTTTTATTGAATGTACCTTTCGAGTCATGTACAGAAGGGATTGAAGCGGTTGCATTTGTTTCCCTTGAATGTTACTTGATTTAAAATTTATACATCTTTGTCTTTCAGGAGAATGGTGATTTAAATCAAATAGAAAATGAGGAGCCACAGCCTGCAGAAACCATTGAAGACACAAAATCTGTTACCTCAGCCACAACTTCTAGTCAAAGCAATGGTCATAGCAATGGTGTTGACAGCATGTATGTGTATTCCATGTACTTCATATGATTCAAAAATATTTTGTGTTGAATGTTCCATATTGTTAAAGTTTTCTTTTGTTACAGAAAACAGAATAATGCAGCAAATGTGCTGTTAGACCTTTCTGAGCACAATTCTGTGAGCAGTAGTGATCTTTTGGGTCCCCTGGCTAATGAAGACTGCATTAACTCCAATATTAATGCAAACAATGGACTCAGCAATGGGCCTCCACCTCTCATTGCTGCATTCAACGATTCCACTCTCAGCAAGAAACAGGATTCAAATGTTGTTACAGGTAGGATTTGTTGGTTCAGCAAAATATTTTCTATTCTATCTTGATGTACTAACAGCTTCAGTACTTTTTATTCTTTCTTACAGATTTGTTATCATAAGCTATAGAGAATAGATCAATTTAAAGCAGCAAAGAAGGCTTGAGTGTGATGAGCACGAAGTGACCCTTTGAAAGTGAAAGTGTGTGCATGAATTTGTGTGTAACCTGAAGACTGCTGATTGTGTGAATGATGTTACATGTGTATGTGTGTCTGACACCATTGTGTTTAATAGTACATATAAATTTGAACAATGGTGCTAAGCAAAGTTGTGGAGCAGTTGGCAGCTATTGATACCTCCAGTGCGCTGTGGTGTGTTGTGACTAGCAAGTTTCCAGCAAAGTTTTTCCACCATCTTCATCAGCTTGCTCCAGTTTCTGCTTCAGACAATTGCATCATAATTAAGAAATATTAAAGTTTCTTTTTCTTTTTTTTTACTTGTAACAAATTTTAAAGCATGTGTGCTACTAAAAAATGAAATTAAAGCTCACCTAGTCAGTTGAAACAAAATGTGCGGAGCGCAGGATAAGCAGTGGATGAGGTAAACAGAATACCTATGATTTTTCAGTTTTTTATTAACTTTTTCAAATATTTCAAATTAATTGGACATCTGCATACTTGAAAAAGGAGTGTGATAGCGGCAGCTTATTCTAAGGAATAGCCAGGTACAATACTATTTTGTATGAACTGTTCTCAAGAATCTGAAAGGGGCAAACTAAAACCTTCTGTTTCCAGTCTTATGCACTTTTGTTAGTGGCTGTACGTGCTTAACTGGAGTTTGAACATCCCTCCATTTGACTCGCACTCCTGCTCCTGGCACTTCATTAGATCATATTACCTAACTTCTGTAACCTAATGTAACATCGTGTAACCATCCTCAGTGTATATCATACCTTCTTTGATCACATTAGGCTGGTATTACAATTTGATCCTCACATTATTTATTACTTTTCTTTTATAAAAGATCTTCTGTTTTTATTATGTCTGATGGGAACTAAGAGGTGGGGTAAAAAATGTTTTTACCATTAGAGAAAAGTCTTTAAAAGTTGGAGGTCAGGAACCCCAATTATTTAAGAGAGAGTAAATGACACTGTGTTAAGTTTGCATATAGTGTATTATTTTAATGGAGTCAGATTACCCAGCTATGAGAATGTGCTGGCAGTGGCTGGCCCAGCCAGGCAGGCGATGTACGAAACAATTCGTTGTTTAATTAAATTGTATTCTCATTTTATGTAAATGCTTGTAATAAAGTGCTTTATCAGATTCGATATGTCTACCAAATAAATTATTTGGGTATTATAATTAAGAAATA